GGACAGGCCTCCCAAGATGGATGTAGTTGGAAGGGCAGGATTTTGCATACACTAAGCAATGTTTGTTGACTTAAAAACAGCTGCCAGAGGGCTTAACTTTATTCTCAGTGAGTCCAACTAAGAGTCTCTTTTTCTGAACTCTCCTCCCCCAGTCAGTGGCAGGGGCATGATGTGCACATGCAATCTCCTCAGATTATCTGGCTGCTCTTTTCCTTCCTGACAGAATTCCCATTTCAAGATGTTGCAAAGGGAAGAATTTCCCTCACTGCTTCCACTGTCTGGGACACTGGAGCCCTCTGACTGGATGAGGTTTAGGGTGCAGTGAAGCTGTAGAGCAGCAAGGTCTACAGGAAAAGAACCAGGGATAAATCTAACCCAAACAGCAGCTTAAATCCCAGCAGCGGACTCCAAAAGTGTAAAAATCGTCAAATTTCTCAAGTGAGAAGGCTCCAACAGCCAGTGAGCCATACACATTGTGTTCAGGCACCTAGAGGAGCCATCCAAAGTCAAACCCTGTGCCACAAAATGTGGAGGTAGGAGAAAGCAACCTGACCAACCACATGTGATAGCTAGGATTTTTTCCTTCGTTGATCTTTCCTTCATTTGGATCTGGCCACCTGTCTGCCGACAGAGGGATGCAGATTAGGCACTTTGAAAGTGCAAATGAGCCCAGGATTCAAATATCCTGGGCTTCATTTGCATACTCAGGTTTGGGCGCTGTGCCGATCACGTGCCTTTTCAAGAGTGAAAGTAAAGTCTAGCTGCGGCTCTGCTGACAGCGGGGAGCTTTTTTGGAAGATCCTGTACTCCTTTTTTGGGATATTTAAGTCCTGGGCTCACTTGCACTTTCAAAGTGCCTAATCTGTATCCCTCTGCCAACTGAGGGATGCAGTCTGAAGGTAGCCCTTTGTATGTGGTGGGTATTTCTCTGTTATGGGTGTCTTCCATGGTCACATCTTGTTTCATTTCCATTCCAGCTCATTTGTGTGTCTTTCAGCTCTACTGATGGTGCTTGGGTCTGGGTTGGACGAGTGGTTGTGTGTATGTGTTGCAAGCATTAAAGGGTCATGCTAGACTTGAGAAGCATAACATCTTGTTCTACGCCCTTTGCAATCTAAGCCGAGGGAAGATTTCGGGTAACTAATAAGCTGCTTGCCTCTATCAAGGCTGGCTGGTGCAGATCTTGTTTAGCCTGATATGTGAAACTGGTTGGATAGTGGAGCACTTCTCCCAGGTTCTAGTCTTTGAATTACAGTGAACTTTTAAAATTAACCTGTTTATTGTGGACAAGTTTGTCTTGTTGCTGTATTGTGTCTCTGTATCACCTCATTATCCATGAGAGAAAATGGCATTTGCTTCCTTAGATGTAAAAGGCTATGTAGCATAAACCACCATACATCAGAACACAAGATCAGGGAATTCTGGGATCTACTTCTTGTTCTGCTTGCTGTATAACCTTAGACACCTTCCAGGGTCTGTGTTCCCATCTGTTGTTCAAGTAACGTTACCTCCACGGGGATGTTGAGACTAGATTCGTTAAATGTTCCAAGAGTCTGGGATCCTTGGCTAGAGGGCACTGCAAAACTGTGAAGTGTTTATCTAACCAGATGATGCTCAGTGTAACCACAGGCCCACATCACTCTACTCTGAAGTCACTTCCTTGAAATCCAAGCCCCTAGACTTCTGACGCACTAACTAATGGGACTGAAGTATGCATGTGGATCCGGTTGGGCAATAAGACAGAAGCGGTTCACCAGGGTTAGCCCCTGACAGACCACCGCCGCTGTATTTGCTTGTGCCTCTGCAGGTATGGTGCTTACAGCTTCTATTGGCCACAGATCGGCGTTCCCAGCCAATGGGAAATGCAGGAAGCAGTGCAGACCAGGACACAGATTCCCACCGCTCCCATTGGCTAGGAACGGCGATTTGCCGTTCCGGTGGCCCACCAGGAGCTAAACCTGTTAGTCTGACCACCCTTTGCTTTTTTTACCTATAGTTTTTAACGGGTGTGTTTTTTTTTTTTTTTTTTTTTTTAAACCAGTCTTACATCATATTATGGGGCTCTGTTGTATACAATTAGAATAAAGCAGGCTTTTCTGGTGCCCTCTTAAATTTTTATTTTTTTTTTAAAGAGGTTACCAGAAACTGAAGTGTGTGCATGCCCCACGATATCTGATATTGGAGCCTTCATGAGCCTTGCTTTTCTGTAGGTTCATTAAACAGCATTCTGTGTGCTGCATAGTCTGCCGTGTGTGTGTGAGACGCTGAATCGTTCACCTGAGAGGTGCATAGACACCCAAGGGTTCTGATGACCATGGAAGCTTCAAAATTGTCAGGAGGAATGGGAGAGGGAAGAAATGTAAATACCCTTTGATTGTTTGTTATGCTGATTAGAAGGCCTATGAACCAATACAAAGGTAGGTGGTAGAACAGAGACCTCTTAAGACAATTCTGCCAATTGCATAGTTTATTTGTATGGAGTGATCCTGTGTGTCAAATGCTGGAAAGCTGTCTTGTCTTGCACTGTTTAACAAAACAAAATATCCCTGTGGTGTGGCTTTCCCTGCTCTGCACCCTGTTGTGAGTTGAGAGCTTTATTATGCAGTCTTACACTGATGCTTTGGTATGTCTACATATCCTCTTACATGGTTAGGCCTGGAGCGCACTGTATCTTGGTCCCCTCCTGAGAAGTGGTTTGAAGCTTTCTGAAATGACCAGGGCTGATAAGGTGTTTGCATCACTGGTTTTCTCTCCACAGACCCTTCTCTGCCCAATCACACAGCTGCAACCCATGTGACATTCAGGGCCATATAGGTAGTATATATGTTGTGTGGATAACACTGAAGGGCCATGATGGTAAATAGGTTGAGAATCACTACTCTGGATTATAGGCAAGCTTTTTAATTGTCTACACTTTTTTCTCCACATGAAGAACTCCTATTTATTTATTTGTGTGTGTGTCTGTCCATGAAAGTAAGAGAGATTAAAGTGATGAACCAATCAAGCAACGTGCAACCACGGAGAGCACAATTCCCCCTGCCTAACTCTGCTAGTGCATGTCAGTCGTGAACTGCAACCCCTAGAGGAGTGGAAGAAGGCCAGGCAGTAGCCTAGGACTTGGGAGATCTGGTTTCAAGTCCCTGCTCCTCCACAGAGTCTGTGTGCCCCCTCAGGCAAGTTCCTTAGTGTATGTCTGTACCTCACTGACCCCTCTGTACAATGAGGATAGCTGCATTTCTCTGCCTTGCAGGAGAGATGGGGAGGGGACTGGAGGGGGAGAGTTATGAGGATAATGTGTTGTGAGATGCTCACATACTACAGTGATTGGGACCATAAAAGTAATTTGGTTAGAGAGCTAGCTAGAGAACCTAGGTGCTAGTGAGCAGAAGCCCATCATATTAATGCTCATTATATTGGTATGACCTAAGTTTTAATTCTGACTTCCAGTGATGGAAGTTAGTGTGTTCACCACCTACCTCCCATTAACATCATGGCAATCCCAAGCATACACCACTTGGTACTGTATCTTTCTGCACATCAGAAAGCATTCTAGTTACCAGCTTCTGGTCAGATTCTTAGCTGATCATTAAACCAGTGGAATTATACCAGTGTTTACACTAGTTGAGAATCTGGCCCACCAACTGCTTTGAACCCTGTACCACAACACAAGTTAATGGAATCCCACGAGGGAATATTCCACAGGAGTCTAAACATCAACTTTTCTCTTACACCTTCCACCTCGACTCTGAAAGACTTAAGTGTTGATAGATATGTGATAAAGGATCAGTAGACTCACTAAAAATGTGTGTACACACGTACACGTACACACACTCGCTCACTCTCTGTGTCAGTGTCCTGGAACCAAGAAAAATACGTGCTTCCTTGCTAATCAGCAACAGTTAATCCTATTGTCCAAGACCTACCTGCATTCTGAAATGGCCTTAATAAATGAGCTCATCACATTGGCCACTGCTGCGTTTAACTGCAGCAAAAATCATTCCCTCTAAATACAAGAAGAGCAAACCTACGATGAGCACTATGGGCAGAGGTGATGGGTTGCTGCTGAAGCAGGGAATGATGTTGCTTTACTGTGAGATCCTTTTAAGTGGAGTTAGACTTTATCTACCATGAGTCAGCTTCACCTGGTTACGTGACGGTGCCATTTTAAACTGGTTTACTTAAACCCAGTGCAAACTCCTGTGGGGGGCACTTACTTCAGATTAAGAGTAGCTTTTATTGGTGTTGCTTAAATCCGTTCCTCGGGTACGTCTACTTCCTGGTATCCCGAAATAGCTACCCCGTATCTTTTGAACGCGTCTGCTATTGCGAAATATAGCGGACGCGCTATTTTGGCATCCCTGTAAACCTTGTTGCACGAGGGATAAGGGATGTCTCGAAATAGTGTTTTATTTCAAAATTTGGCACTGTGTAGACACGCCAAATTTTGAAATAGCGTACTTTGAAAAAGAATCAGAATAAGATACATAATTTGCACTATGCAAATTATGTATCTTATTTTGATTCTAAGGGTGCAGTATAGATGCGCCCTAACTGATTTAGGCTAAGCGGCAATAAAGTGTCCACACAGGCATTTGCCCTGGTTTTAAGTATACCAGTTTAAAATCACACCTTTAATTAATCAGGTGCAACTGACTCCTGTAGACAAGGCCTAGCACCTTAACTTGTGCAAGCTCCTTTAAATGGTTTGTAGCCAGCCCCTGCACTAACTGGAGTCAGGGTGGCTTTCTCTGTATTGCTGAAATAGAATGTCGGTGGGGTACGATTTGTTGCACCAGCACCACTTGATGCCAGGCCTAATCAACTTAGTGTTATGTCCCCTGTGTAGCATTGGCACAATACTGTCACTCCCATCGACTCCTACTTAGCAGCACTGTGAAGAACACTGAGCTTTATGTCGCCTTGCACGTGCCAGAGCTTAGGGAAGAGTCGATGCTGGAACTTACCCCTTGCTGAATATCTGTCGTGCATGTCCTTTACAGGTATCTTTCTGGGGATTCGGTCACTCTGTTCCCTTATGGCTCTGGGATTGGTTTCCCTTGTTCTGCTGCCTCGCCGTCTGTTTTTATCCCAACGCCCCCCAGCATCCTCCAGCTGACGAACCAGCAGTTCTTCAGATCCCCACGTAGGGCTTCCTCCTCCTCGCTCCCTGGACGTCTGAACAGGGCCCTCTCCCTGGGCACCATGCCTTCCCTAGCCAGGACAGGTAAGGCAAGCAGCGCACTTCTACGCTGGACGGAAATACAAGTGTAGCTGTGTTCAAACGGTACTTATGGAATCCTGCCTATTGTCATGTGACTGGCCTGACAGACTAGTAAGTCTAGTCTAGCCTTAGCATGTTGCTTGTAAAAGTGCACACTGATAAATGCTACCTATTCAGAATAATCCACTGCACACTGAGGGGCAGTGATGAATTGGGCATGCACATTCTCTCCTCGTAGGTCTTACGGGAGGTATCTCCTAGGCACAGCGCTTATAGCATAGTGCTTTTTTCTAAGGTGTTCAGCTTAGCACTTTGGTATAACCGATTCTTCAAAAGCAACCAAGAGCTGGTAAGCTAGTGCTTTTGCACATAAGCTAATTCTTAATGCCCAGACAGTAGGACAGATGTGGTAGCCTCATATCAAAAAAGCTATATTGGCATTGGGAAAGGTTCAGAAAAGGGCAACAGAAATGATTAGGGGTTTGGAATGGGTGTCATATGAGGAGAGATTTAAAAAGACTGGGACTTTTCAGCTTATTAAAGAGGAAACAAGGGGATAGGATAGAGGTTTATAAAATCATGACAGGTATGGAGAAAGTGAATAAGGATAAGTTATTTCTTGTTCCCGTAACGTAAGAACTAGGGGTCACAAAATGACGTTAATAGGTAGCAGGTTTAAAACAAGCAAAAGGAAGTTTTCCTTCACACAGCTGCACAGTCAACCTGTGGAACTCCTTGCCAGAGGAGGTTGTGAAGACCAGGACTTTAATAGGGTTCAAGAAAGCTAGATAAATTCATGGAGGTTAGGTCCATCAGTGGCTATTAGCCAGGAGGGGTATGAATGGTGTCCCTAGCCTCTGTTTGTCAGAGGCTGGACGTGGATGACAGGAGAGGGATCATGTGACAATTACCTGTTTCTGTTCACTCCCTCTGGGGCATCTTGCATTGGTTGCTGTTGGAAGACAGGATGCTGGGCTGGATGAACCTTTGGTCTGACCCAGTATGTCCGTTATAAGTTACAGTTAAATGCTTTTCAATGATCCTTGTGGGGTTGCAGTCCCTGTAATGCAGATGAGTACCATACAACGCTCTGTCATAGCTGTTGCTCAAGCAGTTGATTTAATACTAGAGAACTCACTTTTGGTATAATCACCACCTAAGTAGAGCAAAGAAGCTCTTAGCTTGATAGTGGCGCGTGGCGTTTGTGGATGAAGACCATTGTACACACTGATTGACCGGCTTAATGTTTCCATCTTGAGGTTTGTGACAGGGTGCCAGTCACAGAAGATCCCTGGGGGCTGCTTCCTGATGTGCTGATAAAGCCACTGACACTGGCCTCCTCATTCTTTGGGGCTTCTCACCACGCTATGATGCTGAACCAGATCTCCTGGTCTCCCCCAGCCAAGGCACAGATCTGAGATCACTGCCCCTCTCCCCTCCCTCCTGGAAAACCAATGCAGACACTGAATCATTTCAGATCTGCCCACGCGCCCCCCCCCCCCCCCCCAAATAAACCATTCAGGCAAGCCCCCTTTAACAATGAAAGGAGGATGTATACATAGATGTCTCCCTCAGGTAACAATTATTTACGCTGGGCTTGATAGTAAATAAAACTAATTTTATTAAGTGCAAACAGTAGGATTTAAAGTGGTTGCAAGTGAAAATGGACAGAGCCAAGTAAATTACAGATTTAAAATGAAAGCAGATGCATAGCAAGTTCTAACACCCTAGAGCTTATTGCAAGCTTACCTTAAGACTGTTCTTATTTTGGGCAAAAAACCTCCAAGCCAGGGAAGATCTTTTTCTCCCTGTGGTCTCTGGCTCCCTTAGTAAACCATTCAGGCAAGCCCCCTTTAACAATGAAAGGAGGATGTATACATAGATGTCTCCCTCAGGTAACAATTATTTACGCTGGGCTTGATAGTAAATAAAACTAATTTTATTAAGTGCAAACAGTAGGATTTAAAGTGGTTGCAAGTGAAAATGGACAGAGCCAAGTAAATTACAGATTTAAAATGAAAGCAGATGCATAGCAAGTTCTAACACCCTAGAGCTTATTGCAAGCTTACCTTAAGACTGTTCTTATTTTGGGCAAAAAACCTCCAAGCCAGGGAAGATCTTTTTCTCCCTGTGGTCTCTGGCTCCCTTAGAGTGTGTCATGCCAGCCAAAGACAAAGACTTCTAGCTTTCCAATTTAAATAGGCTTCCATTTGGGTGGAAATTCTTTGTTTCCTCATTTCCCCCTTCCATAGAAAATAACCCCTGGTTAAACTAGTACACTGGTATAAATTGGTTTGGTCACGTGTCTTTCCATGACCAATCACTGCTCAAACTTAAGACAGAAAACCAGGCTGTTTACAGGTCATTAAGTTGATTACCCAGACATTGAGCATTGGAAGCACCCTTGATGGCTTTCATTTGCACATTTAAAACCATAAGCCGTTCCTTACCCTATATCTTTAACTTTACATACAAGAATGATCCATGCACCAAAATAAGATACAGATCCAGCAGACTGACATTAAAATTGGTAGGTTACATGAGGTATTTTGTCCAAAGTATCTTCAAGATATGCATATTTATATATACAGGCAGTCCCCGGGTTACGTACAAGATAAGAACAAACCTATAGTCCCTAAGTTGAATTTGTATGTAAGTTGGAACTGGCTCCAGATTCAGCTGCTGCTGCTGAAACTGACCAGGGGCTGACTACAGGAAGATGGAGGCAGAATTGCTCTGCCCCCAGCTTCCTGGAATCAGCGGCTGAATCTGGAGCCTGGGACAGAACAGCTGGGGGGCTGCCGGGTAGGTCCCCCCAGGACCAACCCGGCAGCACCCCGGCTGCTCTACCCCAGGGTCCACAACAAAAGCCTGGTCTGCTGGGGGGTGGGGGGAGCACTAGCTGCGCCCAGCAGACCAGGGACACAGGGAGCAAAGCCGCAGCGGTGGCGGGGGGCTGCGCCTCTGAGGCTTTGCTCTGGGAAAGCCTCAGAGGTGCGGGACCCCGCTGCCGCTGCGGCTTTGCTCCCCGTGTCCCTGGTCTGCTGGAGACGGTCCCCAGCAGACCAGGGGCACCCGGAGCAGCTTTTCTCGCCCCAGAGGTCGAGGTGGCGGGACCGCTGCGCTCTGGGCAGTCCCGCTGCCTGCGAGCTCCGGGGCGAGAGAGCCCCGTTCGTAAGTGCGGATCCGACATAAGTCGGATCCGTGTAACTCGGGGACTGCCTGTACATGACAGTGTCACATGGTATAGGGCAGGGGGTGGGGGGGGAGGGTCCATCACAAAGTTCTCCTCTTTGTGTTTTCCAGTTATTTCCATTCCCCAGCAGTGGACTAGATTTGAAAGGTATTAATTCTCAGTGTCTGTGATCACAAAAATCCTGTGACGAAGGGATACTCAGATTTGTATTTCAGAAGTGCCACTGTGTCTCCTTTAAGGCCTGTCAACCCAAAGCTCTTTCTGAGGTACAGACACAGGGCTTGCTTTGCCTGCTGCTGGAATGAAAGGCAGTGATTGGAATGCCTTGGCCCCACAGCACAGTAGCTGTGCCCAGTCAGGACTCGGAAATCCTGCTGTCATCTATTTCTGGGTGAGGATCCTGTTCTCACTGCTTTCTGACTCAGGGTTTTAAGGCTGCACAGCCCCCTTACTCTGTAATACCTTTAGCAAGCCAGGTCACCTGATGGCCAGCACGGGAGTTTTGCTTTCTCTCCGTGGACTATGATGGGTGGGATTTACCAGTCCTATAAATTGGTGTTCTAACTAAGCACGTTTATTCTTATGTGACAGCATCACCGAGGAAAAACTAAAACGAATGGAAACACACACAACATGCCAGGAATTGCCCATCAGTCTTATGGGGCCCTACAAGGTTAAAGTTTTCCCAGCTCTTCCACGCTTGAGCTTCGGACAATTGTATTGGTGGCAGATCTGATCCTTATGACCACTGAACCATCTCTCCATAGTGTTTGAGGTGGGCTGCAGAGAGCAATGGTAACTTACCAATTGTCAGATGGAGTCGGTCTTTGAAAAATGATTAAAAGTCTAGAAACCATGAGCTAGGAGGGAAGACTGAAAGAATTGGGCTTGTTTAGTTTAGAAAAGAGAAGACTGAAAGGGGGCACAACAGTTTTCAAGTACCTAAAAGGGTGTTATAAGGAGGAAGGAGAAAATTTTTCTCCCTCGACCTCTGAGGATAGGACAAGAAGCAGTGGGCTTAAGTTGTAGCAAGGGAGGTATAGGTTGGACATTGGGGAAAACTGTCAGGGTGCTTAAACACTAAAATAAATTGCCTTGGGGTGTTGTGGAATCTCCTCATTGGAGATATTTAAGAGCAGGTTGGATAGACACATTTCAGGGATGATTTAGGCAGTGCTTGGTCCTGCTGTGAGAGCAGGGGACTGGACTCAATGACTTGTCGAGGTCCCTTCCAGTTCTAGGATTCGATGATTCTAACTGGCTCTTGCTTAACAATCTCCTGGTTTTTAAAGCTCCAGCTCTCCCTGACTTAGGGCTCATCTACATGAAAAATTCTGTGCCAGTTGAACCTCTGTGGTCCATGACTCTTATGATCTAGCAACATCCAGATGCTGCTGGACTAGGGCCCTAGTGGCAGAGATTGCCGGCCAGTGGGGCTAGCAGAGCCTGCAGGGCATCAGAGCCCATAGCCAGTGGGGCGGGGTGAACTTGTGGGGCTACGGAGCCTGCAGGGCTGCCAGGGCCGCTGGAGCTCGCAGGGCTGCCTCAGCCAGTGGGACCAGGAGGCTGGGGAGAGGAGCCCAGCTGGGAGAATGGTGCCCCCCCCCTCCCAGTCCTCTTCTGATCTGGCAACTCCCTTGTCCAGGTCAGGTCTCAAGGATGCTGGACCAAGGAGGCTCAACCATAGTGGTATGCAGCACCGTGGGGTCTCCTGTTGACAGGGCTCAACAAATACACACATCTACTCGCACATGGCGAGTAGATTTCAGCCGGTCGCCCCCGTTCACCAACAGTCCCTGCATGTGCA